AAAATAGAGGGATACCCAGGAACTCCCTGGAGCAGCTCAGAAAATCCTCTGGGAAGACTTGTGTGACGTGATATAGGGCTGTCACTGGGGAGGCCCTACAGTTACACCAATGACTCTACACCAACACCCAGCCCCTGTAATGCCCGAAATCCTACAATAATACCAGGCACCCTCCAATAACACAGAGCCCCTGCAGTGCACCGACCCTACAATAACAGCAGTGACCCTACAATAACACCCAGATCCTACAGCCCTCACGTCCCTAAAACAACAGAGATCCTACAATAGCACAGAGCCCCTGTAGTGCCTGAGAGCCTGCAATAACACACGCCACTTTAGTGCCTGAAACCCTCCAATAAACGCCAGTCCCCGTAGTGCCCCGACCCTACAATAACACCAGCGACCCTACAATAACACCGGAGACCCTACAATAACACTGGAGACCCTACAATAACAAACAGCCCCTGTAGTGCCCCTGCCCTTGCAATAACACCAGAGCCCCTGCAATAACACGCAGCCCCACAATCACCCCAGTGCCCCGCAGCCCCACTCGTGCCCCCCAGCCCCGCAGAAACCCCGAGCGGGATCTCCGCCTGGGGTCACCGGGATGTCCACCTCTCTTCCTGCCCCCTGCTCTGACGTCACGGCGGCGGCGCTGACGTCATGGCGGCGCAGGGGGGCGGGGCGGGCCCGCGGGCCCCAGTAAAGGCTGTGAGCGGCCGCGCTGCCTCTGTCGTGTTCCCTGCGCCACCCGGGACCCCGTCCCCGTGTCCCCGCGCAGGGGACACCCCGGTGACGTGGGGGGCGTGGCCTGTGGGGGCGTGGCCTGTGGGCGTGGCCAGCGCGGCGGGTTCCCCGGTCCCGATAGGCGGGGTCAGGGGCGGGGGCGTGGCCTCAGCGGGGGTGTGGCCATCGGGGCGGGTCCCCGGGGGTCCCGGCGCGGCGCCGTCATGGCGGGGGTGTTCGACATCGACCTGGAGACCGAGGAGGGCAGCGACGGGGACGAGCCCGAGCTGGGCGCCGTGAGCCGGCAGCGGGGCGCGGGGGGGACACCGGGGCTGCGACCGGCAGCGGGGCTGGGGCGGGGGGCGCCGCGGGGACGGGGGGCACCGGGAGCGGGACGGGCGGTGAAGGCGGTGAGCGGCACCAGGGCGCGGTGGGGACGGCGGGATCGGGGGTGTCCGGGGTGCGTGGGGTCCGCTCGGTGCCGGGAACGGCGGGCAGGGGCTTGGGGGGACAGCGACAGGGGCAGTGACAGGGGTCCCGCCGGTGGCGGGACACGGGTGTAGCCGGGCTGTCCGCGGGGACGGGGCGCCGGGGCACCGGGATCAGCCGCGGATCCCGGGTGGGCAGCGGGCGTCTCCCGCTGGGCAGGGCCCGGCCTCGGCCCCAAAACATCCGGCTGGGCCGGCTCGGCGCTGCCTCGCCCCGCGCTGCCGTGTCCTGCCCGTGTCCCGCCCGTGCCGTGCCCGTGTCCTGCCCGCCGTGACTGCCCTCCTTGCCATGTGTCCCCTGCTTGTCGTGGGTCCTCTCTCTGCTGTGTCTCCCCTTCCTGCCCTGTGTCCTTCCCTTGCCATGCGTCCCCTGCCCGCTGCTCCCCTCCTGCCCACCTCTGACCGCGCGTTCCCTCCCGCAGGAGATGGAGCTGGAGCCCCGGGGAAACGGCCTGGAGTAAGTGGGGGACAGCCTGCGGGGGCGTACGCGGGCAGGGGACAGGCAGGGGACAGGCAGGGGACAGGCAGGGGGCTGTTCCTGCTCACCCCCTCTCCCGCCAGGCCGGTGGGACACTATGAAGAGATCGAGATTTCCGAGAGCAGCGTCAACAATGGCCCCGAGCACATCGGCCCGCACTGCTTCGAGCTGCTCCGCGTCCTGGGCAAGGGTGGCTACGGCAAGGTGGGGACGCAGCAGGGCTGGGGGACTCGGGGGGGTTCCAGTGCACCCCGATGGCGTCCCCAACCTTCCCTGCCTGTCCTTCAGGTGTTCCAGGTGCGCAAAGTGCAGGGCACCAACACGGGGAAGATCTTCGCCATGAAGGTCCTGAAGAAGGTAGGGCCACCCCGGCCCCTCCAGCCCCTCCGGGGACCCCTCCCCCCCTCTCACCACCTTCCCCCCAGGCCAAGATCGCCTGCAACGCCAAGGACACGGCGCACACCCGGGCAGAGAGGAACATCCTGGAGGCCGTCAAGCACCCCTTCATAGTCGACCTCATCTACGCCTTCCAGACGGGCGGCAAGCTCTACCTCATCCTGGAGTGCCTCAGCGGTGCGGGCTGGCTCGGGGGTCCCGGGGACTGCTCCGGGGATGGCTATGAGTTGTCCCAGGGGTGGCTCAAGGGATTCCAGGGATGGCTCAGGATGTCCAGGGACAGTTAAAGTGTAACCTGGGGTGGCTACAGTGTTCAGGGATGTTTTAAGGGTGTCCCAAGATGGCTACAGAGTGTCTCAGGATGGCTCAGATGTTCCCAGGGGTGATTAAGGAGTGTCCAGGGATGGCTCAGGAGGGTCCCTCTTGGACTCTCTATGCAGGTGGAGAGCTCTTCATGCAGCTGGAGCGGGAAGGGATCTTCCTGGAGGACACTGCCTGGTAGGGATGTGGTGGTGAGGGGTGTGGATGGGGTGGGCACCCCTACATCGCTCACAGCCACCCCGATCCCGCTGCAGTTTCTACCTGAGCGAGATCACGCTTGCACTGGGTCACCTGCATTCCCATGGGATCATCTACCGGGATCTTAAGCCAGAGAATATCATGCTCAACAGCCAAGGTGGGTTTGGGGGGCAAACTGGGGAGCCTGGGGGTTCTCTGGGTGCAGCGCTGACCCCCCCCCTCCCCGTGTCCCTCAGGTCACATCAAGCTGACAGACTTCGGGCTGTGCAAGGAGTCCATCCATGATGGAGCCGTCACCCACACCTTCTGCGGCACCATCGAGTACATGTGAGGTGGATGCAGCACTGGGGGGAATTTGGGGGGGGTCTGTCCTGGCCTCCCATCCGCTCAGGGCCCCCTCCTGCACCCCCCAGGGCCCCCGAGATCCTGGTGCGGAGCGGGCACAACCGGGCGGTGGACTGGTGGAGCCTGGGCGCCCTGATGTACGACATGCTCACCGGATCGGCAAGTCCCGCTGCTGCTCCTTCCTCCCTGAGAACTGGGGGGGCATCCCGGGGTGACCCCGAGCCTCCCTGGCCCGCCTGGCTCCTCACGGCCCCGCCGTGCCCCCACAGCCGCCGTTCACCGCCGAGAACCGCAAGAAGACCATCGACAAGATCCTCAAGGGGAAGCTGGTGCTGCCGCCCTACCTGACACCCGACGCTCGTGACCTCCTCAAGAAGGTGCCCCCCCCAAATTTCCCTCACCCACCTCCCCCCACCTTTACTTACGTAGCTCCCATTCCCATCTCTATCCCTGTTTGTCTTCCAGTTCCTCAAGCGGAACCCCAGCCAGCGGGTTGGGGGCGGCCCCGGTGACGCGGCTGACGTGCAGGTACCGGGGCTGGCTGGGCAGGCGGTGCCAGGGGACACCCCCCAAATCCTGCCTGACACCCCCAAACCCCACAGAAACAGCCTTTCTTCCGCCACATCAACTGGGAGGACCTGCTGGCGCGCAGGCTGGACCCTCCCTTCAAACCCTGCCTGGTAGGGGCGGCTGAGGGGGGAGGCTGGGAATGTTTTGGGGGGCCCCGTGGGAGCAGCCGCCGTGTTCCCCGCAGCAGTCGGAGGAGGACGTGAGCCAGTTCGACACCCGCTTCACCCGCCAGACCCCCGTGGACAGCCCTGACGATGCTGCCATCAGCGAGAGCGCCAACCAGGCCTTCCTGGTAGGGGGGCACAGCCTGAGGGGGGACCCCTGGCATGCCCAGGCGCCCCTGGTGACATCCCCAAACCCGCAGGGCTTCACCTACGTGGCCCCCTCGGTGCTGGAGAGCATCAAGGAGGGGTTCTCCTTCCAGCCCAAGGTGCGCTCCCCCCGCCGCCTCAACAGCAGCCCCCGCACCCCCGTCAGGTACCGCGGCACAGGGGGCCGGGGGGTGCCTTGGGGTGGGGGGCTGTGGGATGGAGCTGTTTTGGGATGGGGGTTTCAGGGTGGGCACCGAGGTGGGGATAGTGCTGGGGGTGCAAAGCAGGGGTGGTGCATAGAGGGTGGGAGGGCTCAACCTGCCCTGTCCTGGGAGTACAGAGAGACTGTGGGGGCAGTGGGGTGAGGGTCTGGGGTGCTTTGGGGTGAGGGAATGAGAGTGGGCCCAAAGTGGTGAAGGAGTAGGGGAAGTTCATGGAGTATGGGGGGAGCTGGGGCCTCCGGGGGGGAAGGAGCTCTGTGGGCACTTTCTGCCCCCCATTTCCTCGCCCTCTGTGGGTGCCCCACTCACCCCCTCATGTGTCATCTCCAGCCCTGTGAAGTTCTCCCCCTTCGAGGCGTTCAAGCCGGTGGCCCCAGGCGACCCCATGGAGCTGGGGCCCCCCCAGGCCCCCCCACCCGAGGGCACAGCCCCCCTGCCCATCAAACCCTCGGGTGGGGCCAAGAAGCAGAAGGGAGGCCGGGGGCGGGTGCCCAGGTAGGGGCAGGGAGGGTGGGGGGTTTTGGGTGGGGGGCCTGGTGCTCCCCATGGGGTGGGGGGAACCCCACGGTGCTGCTTGTGCTCTGGGGGGCTCATCGCCCTCCAGCACAGCCCCCTGCCCGCTGGGCTCGGGGGCACGGGGAGAACCCCCAGGGGTGTGGCCCCCCAGGGATGTGCCCCCCGTGGGCGTGGCCTTTTGGGGTGCGGCCCCTCTGGGGCGCGGCCCTGCTGCTGGATGTGTGCCAATTAAAGGACTTGCTGAGGCTGTGGTGGTCCCTGTGCTGGAGCTGGGGAGGCCCACTGGGAGGGTGGGGGAGTTGCCCCATTGCGGGGGGTCCAGGCTCCACCCCCCTGTGATGCCCCGCCCCCTTCCAAGCCCCTCCCACTTGCCACACCCTTTCACTGACTCCGCCCACTTCTCTACAAACCACGCCCCCGGTCGGCTCTGCCCCCGAGCTGCTCTTTTATTGGTCAGTGCAAACCCGGACAGGGCCCCTGCAGCCAATCAGGAGCCTCGGCTGGGGGCGGGCAGGGGACAGAGAAGGGGTCCCTTGGCTGGCAGGGAGGTGGCACCGCAGGGAGGTGACATCAAAGGGTGGTGACGTCAGGACAATGATGTCACAAGGCGGTGACGTGCGGCCGCGCGTCCCCCCAGGCCGCTGTCCCCGAGAAGGCGTGCAGGTCACCGAGCAGGGCCTCGGCGCTGCCCCCCGCCACCTCCCCCTCACTCGGGGGGCTCTCCCCGCCCTCTGGCGCTGCCTCGGCCTCCTCCTCCTCCTCCTCCTCCTCCTCATCTTCCTGCTCATCCTCCTCCCCCTCATCCTGCTGCGGCCGCCGCTCCAGGCTCCAGGGCATCAGCTCTTCCTCCTCGTCCCGCACGGCCACCTCCGTGTCGCCGTCCCCGAGTGTCGCGGCGGGGTCCCCCGGCGAGCGCAGCCGGTGCCACTGTCCCCGCAGCAGCTCCAGCGCCCGGCGGCCCAGGGGCCGGGGGTGGTAGCGGCCGGCCGAGAGGCGGCACAGGTGGTGCCAGGCCAGCGCCAGCCCCAGCGCCAGGCACAGCAGCAGCGCCAGCAGCGCGGCCACCGCCCGGTCATTGCGGGCCACCGCGGGGTCCCCGGCCGCCGCCGGCCCCGCCAGCGCCAGCAGCAGCGGGTGCCAGCGCGGGGCAGCCTGCGGGGGAGGGCAGCGGGGTCAGACCGCGCGTGGCTTCCCGGAGCTGGAATGCAGCAGGGAAGGGCCGGGGCGAAGGGCAGCGGGGACAGGGGGCAAGGTACGGGCGCAGAGGACAAGGGCCGGGGAGGGGCAGGCGACCCGCGGGGACGGAAGCCGTGGGTTGCGGGTGCGGCAGCACCTGCAGGTGCTGGGGGAGAGCAACCGGGTCCTGCCACCCCACATGGCTGCACAGCCCCCCCTAGAATCCCTTGCCCCTGCCCACACCCCCCTCCAAAGCCCCAGGGCCCCCCCAGGGCACTCACAATTTTCGCTGTGGCTGCACAGCCCCCAGCCCTACCCCAAACCCTGACACCCCCAAGCCCACAATGCTGCCCCGGACCCCCCCTCCTTCCCCTCCAACCCTGCTGTGCTCCCCTTATCCCCCCAAATATTCCAGACTCCCCTTACCCTCCCACTCCCCCCAACCTCCCCCTGGCTCCCCTGATCCTGACTCCCTCAACCCGTCCCCCAGCCCCTCGGTTCCCAGCCCCCCAATCTCCCACCCTGCCCGGTTTTGGGGTGCTCACCATCAGTGGGTGCAGCCAGAGCGGGTCCCGATGCTGCGGGCGCGTTCCGAGATGGGGGAGGCCCCCCCAACTTCCTGCCCCGCGCAGCGGATGTGCCAGAGCGGGGGGGGGCCGAGTGCTGCACCCCCTCACCCCTGCTACCCAAAATGCCGCCCCGTGCTCCCCCACTTCCTGCCGAGGCGCTGAGCTCCCACCCGTGACCGCTGCGCCTTCCTGCCCCCGCTCTGTCACCCTGCAGGTGGCCCTGCAACCATCGCTTTTCTTATAAATCCTTTATTTGGAGTGAAAATATAGTTTTTGATCCTGCACTGGAATGGAAAGGGGGGACATAAGGAGGAGAGGGGAGGAAAAGCCCCCAAAATATAGGGGGGACAGTATTTCACAGTTGAGGAAGGTAGATCATGCCCTGCCCCACAGAAAGGGGGGAGACCCCACACAGGGACTGAGGGGTGCAGGGGGTCATCTTTGATCCCAGGAGGAACCCCCAGCCCGAGGGATAGGGGGCAGGGGTGGAGAGTGGTCCATGCTTTGGGGGGGCAGCACCCAGTAAGGCAATGGGGGGAAGCGGGGAGCTGCCAGAGGGGCAGCCAGCCCCCCAATGGGAGAAGGGCCTGGAGTGGGGAAGGGGGGAGCACCCCAGGGGGGCGAGATGGTTCAGGGGGGTCCCTGGGGTGCAGGCGTGGTCCCTGGGGCGGTGGTCCCTGAGAGGGTCCCTACACATGGCCGTTCTCGAGGCGGCTGAGCTGCTCCTCCAGGCGGGAGATGCGCTGGCCCTGCTCCGCCACCAGCGCCCGCAGCGCCGCCACCTCCTCCAGCACCTCCTCCAGGCGACCTCCCTGGGGGACAGCCCCGTCAGGGGACACGCCCAGCAGAGCCACACCCACCTGCCACACCCACCCATGGCCCAGCCGAGTAACCGCACCCACTGCACAGCCCCACCCACACCGACCACACCCCCCTGTCCCTGTCCCCCCTGTCCCCCTTGTCCCCCCTGTCCCCCCTGTCCCCTTACCGTGGCGCTGCCGGAGCCGAGCACCGGTGGGGCACTGAAGCGAGTGGACGCGGGGGTCGCGGGGGGTGTGGGAGGTGGCGTGGTGGCCCCGGTGGTGGCGGCACGGCTGTCGTGTAGCAGCGTGCGCCGGCTCACCTTGAGGTCCCGCTGCTTGCTGGGGACGTAGGCCTGGCGCAGGGACACCAGCACGGGCCCCGCCGTGCGCCCTGCCACCCACTCCTCTGCCTCCATGGCCGCCTCGGGGCCTGCCGTGTCCGGGTACAGGTCGTCCTGGAACAGGTCCGACTGCCCCCAACAGTGTCAGAGGGGTGGCATCCTCAGGGGGACCCCCAGAGCGACGCCACGGGGACACAGCCTCACTGGGGACCCCCCCATTGCTCCCAAGTCCTGCCCAGGAACCCCACACGGCCCCGTGTCCTGCCCGGTGACCCCTCTCAGTCCCCCTGGGGACTCCCACCAGCCCTGCTGGGTTTCCCCACCCCACATTCCCCTATCCCCACCCACCTTCCTTGGCACGGTCATGATGATGGGCTCACACTTGCGCTCGTGCAGCTTGTAGAACCTGCCGGGGGAGCAGAGAGGGTCACAGAAGGTTTTGGGGGAATCTGGGAGTCCCTCACCTCATCCCTCGTGTCCCTGTGCCCACCTGGCGATCTCGCACTTGCTGACATCCAGCCCGCGCTTGGGCATCCAGCCCATTCCCCGCTGGGGCTCTTTGCTGGTGAAGGTGTTGAGGAAGTGGATGTAGGGCGGCTCCTCAGTGATCTCGAAGTAGCGGATGCTCGAGTCGCCCTGGGGACACGCCGTTAGGGGGGACCCTGGCTCCGGGGGTGCCACCAGCAGGGTGGGAAGCTCCATACCTTGCCGCAGACGTAGACCACGCTGGTGTCGGGGTCGTAGAAGGGCAGCAGAGCCCCGTTGCTGGAGTCCAGCTCCTGCAGCCCCATGGGCTCCTCCAGGTTCTCCTGGGGTGGGATGAGCTGTCAGGCACACAGGGAACCCCAAAATGGTTCCGGGGACTCCCGGGGTGCCACTCACCGTGTCCCACAGTGCCAGCTGCCGCTCGCTCATGCGGCTGAAGCCAGTGGTGAAGATCTTGCCGTCGGCCAGGAAGATGGCACGCATGGGACGGGCTCCCTCGTGTGCCCGCTCCTTCTCCTGGGGGGCACGGCTGTCACCGGCACCCGCAGCACCCCAGGGACAGGCACCGAGGGACAGGGGACAGTGGGGACAACCAGGGGACAAGGACACCCACGGAACACGGGACAATGGGGTGTACCAAGGGACAGGAACAGGGAGCAGGGGATTCCCCCCAAGAACCAGTGCAGGCCATCGCCCTGGTGACACAGGCCCCCCGGGGGGGTGGGGACACTCACGGCCACCACGGTGCCGCGGCGGGGGTCGATGACACGGACGCTCTTGTCCTTGCAGGCGGTGCAGAAGCGGGAGCCATCGCGGCTCCAGCTGACGCTGTAGATGAGGTCGGGGTGCAGCCCGTCCAGCCGGTACAGCTCCTCCGCCGTGCCCACGTTCCAGATCAGCACCACGTTGTCACAGCCTGGGGGACACGGCAGGGGTCACCTCGGCCGCGCAGCCCCCTCCCCGTGCCCGCCGTGTCCCCCCATACCCGCGCTGAGCAGGACGTTGCGGGCGGTGGGGTGCCAGGTGACGATGCCAACGCGCTTCGAGTGGCCCTCCAGGACCACCACCGGCTCCGTCAGCGGCTGGCTCAGCCCGTTCTCCGGGATCTGCCACACCTGAGGGGACAAAGGGGACAGTGAGCGAAGCGGGGTGACCCCTGCCACCCCCCAGGTCCTGGGCCACCCCTCACCATGACGGTGCAATCCTCGGAGCCGCTGGCGATGACGTGGTCGTTGTGGGGACACCAGTCGATGTCGAGGACGGGGCCCGTGTGGCCGCACACCGTGGGGTACGACTTGTCAATGCGTCCGGTCTGGGGACAAAGCGACAGCAAGGAGGGGTCACCCACCAGCACAAACCCCCATTTCCGCGTCACCGCCCCGCTGTCACCTTGTGCAGGGGGAGGACGAGGAAGGCGCCGCCGCCGCTGGCCTCCACGATGATGGCGACGAAGGAGGGGTTGACGGCGCAGAAGGTGCTGTCCCAGGTGACGCGGGACACGCGGATGTCATCGTAGCACTGGTCCGTCTTCACCGGCTGCCCGAACACGTGCCGGAATTTGCTCTGCCGCACCACCTTCCGGAAGGACATGGCTGGGGAGCACCCCGGCCCCGGTCAGGTATGCTGGGATACCCCAAAATGGGAGGCAGGGCCACCAGGGAGGTGGCCTGGGAATGGGGTGTCCCCCGAACTGGGTTTGTCACTGTCTTCCACCGCAGTAAAGGGTGGCTCAGCCACTCTCAGGAACCAGGAACTGGGGACACACCCCTGTCCTTGCCACCTCCCTGAAGGGAAGTCAGGAAGCACCCCAGGAATGGGGACTCTGAATGAAACAGGGAGTGTCCCATTCGGGATGGGGACAGGGATAAGGGTGTCCTCCTGGAAACACGGGTGGGGATGGAAAGGAGGGCAGGGACAGCTCCTAGATCAAGGGACAGGGCTGGCCCTGCTGGCTATGGGGTCAGGGACAGGGAAAGGGATGGGGAAAAGGATAGGGATAGGGGGCGACGAATGGGGACGGTGGTGGCCTCATTCTGTACGGGGACAGTGACGAGGACAGGACAAGGATGGGGACAGGAAAAAGGATGGGGACGGGGGCGGGGTCCGGAATGGGGCCGGTGGTGGCCGCTCTTGGTACAGGAACAGAAATGGGGACAGGGACGAGGATGGGGACACGGACGGGGAAGGGGAAGGGGTGGTCCCGCTAGGTATGGGGTCAGGGACTGGGAGAGGGACAGGGATGGGGACGGGGACAGGGGGTGGCCGCGCAGGGAACGGGGATGGGGCTGCCCCGGGAAGGCGGATGGGGGCCCGCGGGGGCCGCGCCCGGCGGGTCGGGACGGGGGTCGGTGGCCGGTACCGGTGCCCGCACTCACCGGCGGGTCGGAGCCCGGGGCCGATGCCGGTGTCGGGGGCGGCGGGAGCGGCGGCGGCGGCGGGGGCGGGGCAGGAAGTGACCGGGGCCGCCCCGCGCCTGCGCGGCCGTGGGGCGGGGGCACCGGCGGGGCGGGGGCACCGGGGCAGCCCACGGACCGGGACCCCCACGGACCGGGCCCCGCACGGACCGGACCCCCCACGGACCGGGACCCCCACGGACCGGGCAGCCCGGCCGTACGGTCCCCGTAGACAGCGTCAGTGGGTGGGCAGTGGCAGTAATGACACAGGGCTGCTGTCACCCCCACCAGTGTCGCCCCGTGGTGTCACCCCGGGGGGACACAGCAGCCAGGTCACCCCCCGGGCCGGGCTTTGCCCTGCTCTCATTTTGGGGTGTCCCTGCCCTCTGAAGCCCCCTGTGACACCCTGTGCCCACCCAGTCATGTCTTGGGGACACCCCGCCAGCCCCCATCCTGCGGGGACAATAAATGGACCTACCTTAGATGTGGGGGGAGCTCAGGGAGAGGTGCCAGGTGAGGGGACACAGTGGTGGCCTTGCAGTGTCACCACTGGGGATCTGGGTTGTTCTGGGGACACTGTGGTGGCTTTGGGGTGTCACCGCTTGGAGCATTGGGCAGTGCTGGGGACAGTGGTGGCTCTGGGTGTCACCTCGGTGGTGACCCCAGGGCGCTGGTGGGGACCTGTCCGGTGGCCGTGCCCCGGGGCCGGTGGCCGTGGCTGTTTCCTGCCATTAATCACCGCTAATTGGCTTTGCCCTGGCGGGCCCGCGGCGGGGGGAGTTTGGGGGGTCACGGGGGGTGTAAGAGGATTTCCCTGCGCCTTCCTCCGGCTCGGCCGTCCCGGGGTCCCGCTCCCTGCCCGCCCGCTGCCCACCCAGCCCCGGCCCCATGCCACGTTCCCGCGGGGACAAGGGGACCCCCAAGGACACGGAGCCCCCGCAGAGGGGGAAAGGGGGGCACGAGGAGGGGGAGAAACCCCCCAAAGCCCCCGAGGACGTCGGTGCCCAGGCCCCCAAGAATTCCGGCTCCGAGTCCCGGCACGGTGGGCACGGGCAGAAGAGTGGGAAGAAGGGTCCCACGGACCCCCACGCTGCTGCCATCAAGACCTACTCCCCCTTCCTCAACACCGTCTTTGGCAAGGTGGGGACAGCGGAGGGGACGTGGGCATGAGGGTGGCGATGGAGAGATCCTGGAAATGGAGGGGATGTGGGGACAGGGGAGATGGGGACAGGGATAGTCCAAGATCCTGTGGATGGAAGGGGGACAGGAGCTTTGGGGACATGGTCAGGGACACTCTGGGATCCTGGGGATGGAGAAGACATGGGGACAGTGAGGGTGGGGACAGGAATAGTCCAGGACCCTGCAGATGGAGGGGATGTGGAGCATTTGAGACATGGGGATATGGAGACAGTGGAGCTGATTCAGGGCCCTGGCTATGGAAGAGACATGGGGAAAGTGGGGATGGGGACAGGGATAGTCCAGGACCCTGTAGATGAAGAGGGCAATGAGGCAGTCAGGATGGGCTTGGCAACAGTGGGATGGGGATGTTCCAGAACCCTGGGGACAGAGGGGACATGGGGCCAGTGAAGATGGGGTTGGGACACTCCAGGACCCTCGGGATGGAGGGAATGTTGGGCACTGGGGACATGGTTGGGGCCATTCTGGGTCTCTGGGGATTAAAAGGACATGGGGACAGTGGGGACACAGTTGGGGACACTTTGGGACCCTAGGGATGAGGACATGGGGACAGTGGGAATGGGCTCAGGGACCTGCTGGGACAGCCTGGAATTGTGGGGATAGATGGGACATGCGTGCTGGGAATGGTGCTGGGGACAGAGGGGACATACTGAGGGGACAGCCAAGCTCTGTGGGGGTAAAAATGCTGCTCCTCCACCTCTGGAGCACAACCCCCCTCGGCAACATCCGTGGCCACCTGGCACATTCCATCCAGAGCCTGGGGGTCCCGGGGTGGGACACCCCTGGGGTGGATGACAGGAGCGGGGACACGGGGACCGGGGCAGGGCAGGTGGGAGGTGCAGGCACAGGGCAGGGCGGGGCTTTGCCTGCAATCCCACTAATCCTCCGCTGGAGTTAATTTTGGCCCACGCTTAACAAAGGTGACACCGAGGTTTGGGGGGGGGGGGTGAGGAGGGGGGATGGACACAAAGCTGGGTCTCATTCTGCTGTCACCCCTTCTGTGTGCCCCACGCAGGAGCGGGAGCTGTCACCGGAGGAGCTGGATGGTGAGCAGGGGGGACAGGGTGGGGACATGGGCCTAGGGGAATGGGGCGGGCACGTCCTCATGGAGGGATCTGCCGTGGGGACGCGGCCACGGAGGGGTCGCCCACACCCAAGAACAGACTTGCCCTGGGGTGACACGGTGCCCATGTGACCCTCCATGCCTGATGATGTCCCTGTCCCCACCCGTGGCCATGCCCAGAGCTGCTGGACGCCTTCAAGGAGTTTGACACGGACCAGGATGGCTACATCAGCTACAAGGACCTGGGCGCCTGCATGCGCACACTGGGGTACATGCCCACCGAGATGGAGCTCATCGAGATCTCCCAGCACATCAAGATGAGGAGTGAGTGGGACCGGGGGGCCGGGGAGGGGACCCGGGGTCGCTGGGGTGCTGAGGGTGTCCCCTTCCCACCGCAGTGGGTGGCCGCGTGGACTTCGAGGACTTTGTGCAGATGATGGGCCCGAAGCTGCGGGAGGAGACAGCACACATGGTGGGCGTGAGGGAGCTCAAGATCGCCTTCCGCGAGGTATGGCCACTGCCATGGGGACAGCGGGTCTGATGTCCCCTCCTCAGGGGCACCACAGCCATGAGGGGACCACAGGCATGGTGGTGACAGTGACTCTGGAGAGACCCTGGTGGGGACAATGATGATGGGGGCATGGAGAGGATCATGGGAAGACCATGGCGAGATGGTGACCATAGAGGGGACCACGGGGTGACCACAGACATGGAGGGGACACTGACCATGAGAACGTTATGGTGGTGACCACAGGCAGGAGAAGACAATGACCATGGGGAAACCATGACCATGTGGTGACCACAGGCATGGAGAGAACACTGGGGTGAACGATGACCATGGGGGTGACCACGAGGAGCTGGGGTGCCGGTGGCCGTGGTGGGAGGGTGACCCCCAGCCCGCGGGTGCCGCAGTTCGACATGAACGGGGACGGGGAGATCAGCACGGCCGAGATGCGCGAGGCCATCGCGGCGCTGCTCGGGGAGCAGCTGAAGGCGCAGGAGGTGGACGAGATCCTGCAGGACGTGGATCTCAACGGGGATGGTCACGTGGACTTCGACGGTGAGGACACCCCCTTCCCCGGGGGGCCACGGCAGGGGCTGAGCCCCAGGTCCCCTGACGTCCCCTCCTCACCCCGCAGAGTTCGTGATGATGCTGTCATCCCGGTAACGGAGACCCTGGGCAGGAGGGGACCCCCGGATGACCCCCCAGCCCCCCCTCGGCCCCTCCGTGCCCGGCCAACTGACCCGAGAGCTCTGCCAACATCGGGGTTCAGAGGGAACAGCTGGAGCGGAGCATCTGGGAACGGGACAGACGCGACACCCCCGACCCCAAAAGACACCGGATGTGGTGGCAGAGCCAGCGGAGGCCGGGGGCCCAATAAACCCCTTTGAGCGGAGCTGGATGGAGGTGTCTGCTGGTTGTGGGGAGGCACGTGGGGTCAGCATCCTCCCCTGCAAGTACCATGGGGAAGGGCAGGGCATGGGGGCACCTGTGTCACTTGCAGGGAGTCCCCACGATCCCTTGGGCTATCCCTGCCCATGGAAGTGTCCCCAGGGGGTCCCAGGGCCACTCAGGACCTCCCCTCTCTAGATGACACCCCCCCATACCAGGTGATCAAAATGGGTTCCTGGGAAGAGTCAAGGGTCCCCCCAAAGTCACCCAGGGTGTCCCCAGCACCCCAAACCCAGTGAGGAACACAGGGGGACACAGGAGACACCCCTCAATCCCCCACCTGCCACGGGGCAGCAGAACCTGTGGAGTGGACAAGGTGGCTTCTGGAGAATCCCATGAATGTGGCTCAAGTCCCTGTTTGGGTGCTGCCACTCAAATCCTGACACGAGTAGAGGGTACCCCCCAAAATCAGTCGTAGGGAGAGGCTGGACCCTCCCCCTACCCCACAGAGCAGGCGCAGGGTTGGGGCATTCACAGATTTTAATTTAGTTCTTTTTCTGGAGACAAAAAAAGAAAAAACCCAAAAAAAGAAAAAAAAAATAAAAAGGCATCAAATGCCCCCGATTTCAGATTCAGGGGTGCAGAGACTCCCCCCACGGTGTATCTCCTCACCCCTGTAGTGTCTGGGGGTGCAGGGGTCCCACTGCACCCTGGAGAGACCCCCCAAAAAACCCAGGCCCTCCCCCTGCCCTAAACCTACAGGGAAGGCACCTCGGGGGGGCATCCCCACGTGTGGGGACCATCCCAGGGAGGGTGGGGACACCCCAAACTGGGGGCTGTGGGGGAGATGGGGACCCCGATTGCTCTCTACATATATATAATATACACCTATAGAACAGGCTGGGGGGGAGTCTGGCCCCCCCGGACCCCAAAAGCACCCGAACTCCTGGGGACGAAGGGGAACGGGAATAAAAGGGGAGGGGGGAGACCAAGGCCAGCCTCGGGCTCGCCCCGCTGCGCCTTCCCCGGGGCCCCCCACCCCGGAGGCGGCCGTGCCCCCCACCCCAGGGTGCCGAGGAGGTGGGTGGGACGAACGGAGCCCCTCTGCTCCAGCACGGATTTTGGGGTGGCTGTGTTGGCTGCTGCTCCCCAAGGTCAGTTTGGGTGGGCTAAGGCAGAGCCCGGCCGGCGCTCACGGCGAGGCACGGGGACACACGGTTAAGACAGACGGATGGACAGGGGGGGTCCTGGCCTTCATCCCTCCCCCCCGCCGCTCCTCCTCCTCCTCCTCTCGCCGGGCTCAGAAAATATCCGGGCACAAGCTCCAGTCCTGCTTCTCCTTGCTCTCCCAGTAGCCCCCCTTGTAGACGTGCGCCAGCTCCTGCGTCACCGGGTCCTTCTTCCGCTCGAACCACAGCGGTTTGTAGGGATCGTAGGGTGTCCCTGGGGGGCACAGCGGGGTGAGGGCCTGGGGGGGACACCGAGGGGACACATCCCTGTCTGACAGCCGTGCCTTACCGTCCTCGGTGGCGCGGGCGGCCTCGGCCTCGCGGCGCTTGCGGGAGAGCCGCTGTTTCTCCTCCAGCCGCTGCTTCTCGGCGTTGGCCTCGTCCCACCTCCCGTTCTCCATGAGGCGCTGGTCCGGGCGCCGCCGGCTGTCCGTGGGGGCCGTCCCGTTCTCCGGCGCGTTCAGGGTCAGCGCCAGCTCCGAGAAGTAGTACATGTTCTCTGCGTACTTCCTGTGGCACGGCAAGGAACGGGGCTCAGCGCCAGCCCCGCAGCCCGGCTCCTGGGCCTGCCTCATTCCCGTTTTCCCCACTCACGGGAGCGGGTTCCGCTTCCACAGCAGCACCCGGCTGTCCTCGGACTCGTGGGCTCGCGGCCGCGCCTCGGCTCCGTTGTCCCCTGTTCCCAGCTGGACCTTGTAGCAATCCATCTTCTCGTCCCACGTGCCCAGCAGGGCGAAATGCACCTTTCCCGAGGGGTCCATCACCTCCCCGGTGACCTGGCAGGAGAGGGGACAGCCTGGATCAGGACACACCACAGTCACGAGCAGCCCAGTGTGTCCCATGGCTCCACGTCCCTACCTTCCTCGCCACATCCCGGGAGAAGTAGCTGTAAGGGACAAACTTGAGGATGCACTTGTCCCCTGTCTTGTGGTTGACGATCTCAATTTCACCCGACTGTGGAGAAGGAGAGGAGAGTCAGACCCACCCCATGCCCCATTCCCCAAGGATCCACGCTTCCACAGACCTCCCATCCTCAATTTCCCACCTGGTCTATCCAGAGCTTCCCCACGATGATGTTGTGCACGGTGGTCGTCACCTTTTTCCACGTGTAGTGGTTGCCGGAGGAGTGGAAGATGCAGTGGATGGTACCTGAGGGAGGGAGATTGTACTGGGAACCACACCTGGAACCTCGGGGGGTCCTGAAGATCCCACACACCCCTGGGGTGCTCACCCAGAGGCATGATGGAGAGGTATTTCCCTCGGAATTTGCTGGTGATTTTGATTTCCTGGCGCAGCGTCCAGCCGTTCTTGGAGTCGGCGTGGTGGGCGGCGGCTGGCGGGTGGTGGCTCACCTGGACACGGGATTGGGGACAGCTCAGCGCCAGCCATCCCTATAGCCCAGGAAAGGCTGGGAGAGAGGGGCTGGCCGCACCTGCTCGCAGAGGGAGCGGTACCCGTTCTCCTCCAGGCGATCCAGCTCGAAGGTTTCCCCCAGGAGCGGGTTGAAGGGTTTGCTGGTGCGGAAGACAGTGGTGGAGTAGGAGGACACGGTGAAAGCGGCCACGAAGCACAGCTGCTCCAGGGAGCTCTCGCACCGCGCCGCCCGATCCAGGAGCTCGTGGTATTCCAGGTCCTCTGTCAGCCGCTGCAGCATGGACAGCGGCTCATTGAAATTCACCTGGAAGAGAGAACGGGTCAAAAAAAAAAAATTGGGTTCCGGGGTGCCCCGTGCTCACCCACCAGCTGCATCTGTGCTCACTGGCATGGGAATCTTGGACAGCTCCTTCCCGATGCAGTTCTTCATGATGCTCCAGAGGTTGAGGCTGTAGTTGGGTTTGTAGGGAATGCGGGTTCTCTTCTCCTTCTTGGTGTCCTCAACCTGGTGCTTGTACTAGGGGCAGGGGAGACAAAGGCTGTTATATCTCTGTGACCCCCAAAACACTTCCATGGGAATTTGGGCACCCTCAGACCATAAACCCCCATCCCACCTGCTCATCCAGGCTGATGTCACTGCTGGTGCCGCTGATGTTGCTCCCAGTTCTCCTGGGAAGGGGGGAAAGGGGATGAACATTCCCAAGAAAAGCCGAGCAGCAAAGGAATTCCCCTCTCCCCCAAAACTCACTTGTGGCCCATGATGTCAGGCATGGGGATGATCTCCGGGGCGTCAAAGAACTCGTTGTTGTCATCGTCCTCGTCACTCAGGTCGCCTTTGGCAGGGCAGCACAGATCTGGGAAAGGGGACAGGGCTGGTGAGGAAGGGACATCATTCCCAGTTTCCCGCTGAAGTTCCCCCTGTCACCATCAGCAAGGCGAGGGGGTCACACCCCACTCCAGCTCTGAGGGGTGTTAAATAAGGCTCAGAGGAGTCAGTTTGGACCCTGTTGTAGATGCCAGAATCATTTGATTACGCAAATGAGATGGGACAGACACATCCCTTGGGATCAGCAGAGTCAGAGAAGCTGAGCCTGGCTTGGAAAATCCCGGGAAGTATCTGGGAAACGCTTGGGCACAGCACTTGTCCCTCCCCACCTTTGCCAGAGCCTCCAGTGCCGGGTGTGCTGGCGGGGAGCACCGTGGCCCCCCGGAAAGCCCTTTCCAGGTGGTTGTGCTGCTTGGCCAGCTGCTCCAGCGTCTCCTCCAGCCGGATCCGCTGATCCCGCTCCTGCTGCAGCGACTTCTGCCACTTCTTCCCATGCGTTTGTGCCAGGAGCATGAAATCCCGGCAGGCCTGTGGGGAAACAGTGCTCAGCATGGAAGTGAGGGCTTTTCCCACTGTGGAATCCTCGGGACGGGGACTCACGTTGATCATGGCGTTGGAGGTGATGCGGAAGAGCGTGGCCCGCTCGTTGACCTGCTTGATCTTGTCCGTGCTGTCCGGAGGGAGCCGCAGGGCCTCGAGCTCGCTGAGGGAGCGCTGCAGGGCCGTGCCGTGCTTGGCAATCAGGTCGTTGCAGGTGCTCAGGTCCTCCACTTTGCTGGATAAAATCCGCAGGGTGTTCTGCAGCTCCGTCTTGTCTGTCTGCGACACCGACTCATCGCCCGAGTCGTCTGCGGGCGGGAAGGGATGGGGAGTGTGGGATTGTCATGTCACACCAGGAGCTGGTGGTGGGGCTGCCAGGAAGGGCATGGGGGGATCCCCAAATCCCTGAGGGCTCCCAAACACTCATGGTCCATCTCTGTGTGCATGCCAGACTGTTTGGGTCACACGTGCATGGACATGGCCATCCCCTTCCAAACCTTCTTGCTGGAGATGCTGGGATGCTGCCCAGGCCACTGGGATCCTGCCCTACGGCCTGTGGGGCACTGGGATCCTGAGGAACTCGAAACCTGCCCTGAGGACATTGATACTGCCCTATGATCTTGCCCTGGGGTCTCTGGGATCACGTCTGGAGGCACTGGGACTCTGCCCTGGGGACACTGTGATCCTGTGGAACACTAATATCCTGCCCGGGGTTCTGTGGTGTACTGGGATACTGCCCTGGGTTTCCTGCCACCTGTGGGGCTCTGGAAACCTGGCACTGGGATCCCACTCTGAGGACACTGATCTGGTCCTGGGCACTGTCAGGCACTGGAATTTTACCCTGAGTGCACTGTGACCCCACCATGGATCCAGGAATTCTGTACCTGACTCCTCCAGCATCTTGACAGCCTTGGCCTTGGCGAGCTCGAGGGCGGTGACCCAGCGCTGCCGCTCCACCTCGGAGCTGGCCTTGAGGTGGTAGGTCTGGGCTCCCCCGTTGGAGATGATGAAATTGCAGGAATCCTCCACGGTGATGTTGGCCGTGGCCAAGTTGATGGTGCCACGGCACGTGTGGCCCATCTCTGCCTTGGATCTGCACGGGAAGGCCACAGTGAGGGAAGGACAGGGCTGGATTCCCAGGATGAGGACACAGTGAGGGAAGGACAGGGCTGGGATTCCTGGGATGAGGACACAGTGAGGGAAGCACAGGGCTGGGATTCCCGGGATGAGCCTCTGAGGGGCTGCGCAGGGGGCTTGGCATTCCCAGCCCAGCAGCCAGAGCTATTAATAGGGAGGGTTTGGTGGTGCTGGAGCAGGGCCAAGCCTGGGGATGTTGCTTTGGAGGGACAAATCCACAGCCCTCAGAGGTGGCCTCAGGGATCCTGGAGCCTCAGGGATCCGGTGCTTCCCGGATCCTGGCACGGGCTGGGACGAGGGTGAAGTCTCAGAGAGGCCACGCCAGGCTGGCACTCCCCTTCCACGTCACCGGGTGACAGAGGTGACATCCAGCCGGGACACCCCCAGCCCGGTGCCCCCCCCCGTTGCCAGCGGTGTAACCGGAGCCGGCAGCTGCCGAAGGCTCCGGTTCCCCATCAATAATGGAAGGACAAGGCCCCCCTCCGCCAGGCTCAGGTGTCGCCGCGGGTGACAACACACGAGGCCACCGGGAAGAGCTGCTGGGAGGGACAGCGGGATCCGGGAGCTGGGGGAGGCTGAGGGGGCTGCAGACCCCCGCCCCCATCCACCCTCAAATACCCACGGGGACAGGGATGTGGCAATCTCGGGGACACACAGGTGACAACCACGGGGACAGGGATGTGACAACCGCCCCCCTTTCCTGCTGGCACCGAGGGGCAACGAGGAGCAGGCTAAGGAACCCTTCCCCCGCCAGGAGCAGCCCCGGTGACCGGGAGGTGACACCCCCGGTGACACGGAGATGACAACCGCGGGGACGGGGAGGTGACAGCCGCGCTCGTTCCCAGGTGGCAGCGGGGCACGGAGCGCTCCGCCGCTCGGTGCGGGGGCCGCGGCCGCTCCGCTCCCGCCGCGGGGCTCAGCCCGGCGCCAAGGTCACGGGGGGCCCGCGGGGCGGCGGCCCGGTCCCGCTGCGTACCGGTAGTAGCTGAGCAGCCCATTGCTGAGCACGAACCAGCGCCGCTGGTATCCCTTGATGTAGTTGGTCCATTTGAAGAGCCAACCCTCGCGGGCCGAGCCGGGACCGGCCCCGCCGCCGCCCGCGCCGGTTCCGCCGCCCGCCGACGCTGTCGGTGCCGCCGGCGACGCCGTCGGGGGTGGCGCAGCCCCAACGCTCGCCGCCGGTGAGGGCAGGGCCGGGGGCGCGCCGGGGGCCGCGGGCAGAGCCGCGGGCCCGGGGGGCGCGGCCGGGCCGGGCCCCGCGCCCGCCGCACGCAGCTCCGCCATCGCCGCCGCCGCCGCCCGCCGCGTTGCCGTCACTTGCCCCGCCCACGCCCGCGCCCTATTGGCGGCCGGGGCGCCGGCGGGGCGGCCCGCGCGTTGTGATTGGTCGAAGGCGGACACCGTGGCTGTCAATCAGGCAGGAAGCCAATGGGCAGGGGGAGCGGGGCGCCGCGCGTGCTGACGCCAAGCGGTGAATCACCCACCGGCGATTGGCGGAGGGGCCGGGCCTCGCTCAACGCGGCCTACCATTGGCTGAGGGGTAGCCACGCCCCCTGCTGGCGGAGGGATTCCCGGGGGTCGCGGGTTCCAGACCCCCGAGGGGACAGAGCGGGGACACGAACAGAGAAGGAGAGGCCAGGCTGGCAGCCGTATACAATTCATCTTTATTTACAATACCCTATAAAAATGTAAATTTAGAAACTTTATTCTCATTAACCAGAACCAAAAAATTGGGAGGGACAGGGAAGGAAAAAAAACCAAACAAAAAAAAATTACTGCAAGCAAATGAAATTAAGAAAAAAAGCAAAAAAGGGAAAAAAAAAACAAAACAAAAAATCAGGGGAAAAAAAAAAAAAAATGAACTTCCCACTTGATCTGTCAGAGAAAAAGAACAGGGAAAGGAAGGGCTGGGAGCAGAGGAGGGGGCTGGTTAATGCCAGGAGGAATTCCGGGGTGTAAAATCCCTACATGTGCAAATCTCATGGTTTTTATTTTTTTTTCTTTTCAAAAGCAAAAAAAAAAAAAAAAAAAAAAAAAAAAAAAGAGCAAAATTATCCCCCAACCACCACCACCACCTTCCCGAGGAGCAGCACAGCTGAAGCCACCCGGATCTGATCCGGAGGGGACAGAGATCCGGCTGTGCCCACCCCACCCCCGAGCCGCTGGGCTGATCCCGGGGGGAGGGAAGGAGCCGAATTTTGGGAAGACGAGGTGAGTGTGCGAATCAGGTGTGTGAAGTGTGGGGAAGGGCAGGAAGTGGAGCTCAGTGCTTGTGGGAAAGGCTGGAGAGAAGGAGTAGGGAACGAGCGGAGAACCCCTGGCCATGGATGTAGAGCGAGGGGATCCCCACTCCCCGGGATCCTCAGTAGTGTGTGTGCGTGTGTGTGTGTGTTTGGGGGGGAAGCAGCAGTTTTTGGGGGTGCAAAGGGAGTTGGGGGAAATTGGGAGCAGCAGGGAAAGGCAGCGTTTTGTGGGAAAGGGGGGAGCAGCCAAACATCCCCCTCTTCCTGCTCATCCAGGAACTGGGGGGCAGATGTGCCCCATGTGCCAGGCCGGGCGTCGGGGGAGGTGTGGGGTGAACCGTGTGCCCTCCATCCATCCATCCTTCCTTCCTTCCATCCTTCCTCTGGAACATTCCAGTGGTGGCGAGGAGCCACGGAGATCTACCGGATCCCCTGCACTAAGCTGGAACCAGGGAACATCGGTGGTGGGATCAGAGGGAGGCAGCGATTCCCTTCTCCTCAAGCTGCTCTTCCCCACTCCATTCCTTCTGCAGCTGCACCCCCACCTCTGGTTTCCCCCTTCTCCCAGTCCCCTGGTGGGACAGGGCCACATTCCCATGGGAAAAGAGGGCTGGCACTCACTGCAATTTCGTCTCCAGCAGGTTCAGCTTCTGCTGGTCAACGTAGCGAGAGAAGAGGGAGATCAGGTTGGAGGGGATGGACACGGGCTTTGCCAAGGCTCCCTGAGGGATCCGCAGGAGCTCCCGGGTCACCATCAGCATCAGCTCCGTCCTGCCAGAAAAACGGGAGGAGGGAGCAGTGAGAGGCGTGGGGGTTCCGGGAGCCTGGAGGTTGCTTTTTCCACCCCAAGGGACTGGGGATGTGGTGACATTCCAGGCAGGAGCATCCCAGCCTGGGACAGGGACTTACCATTGGTTGTCCTGCATCAGCTCTGTGTTCCTGTCCGAGCTCTGCAATTCCTCCCCTCGGCTCAGGACCAGGTACAGCAGGGACAGACCAAACTGTGGGGACAGGGAGGGCTTCAGTCACCTCCCAGCATTCCTTGACAGAACTGGAGAATTCCCAACACTTCCCAACCCTCCTGGAATGCTGGCACCAGCAGGAAGATCTCTGGCTGCCTTTGCAGGAGGAAGAGGCAGTAGAGACCACAGACCACTCCCAGCCCAGGAGGGATTTACTGCAGCAACATTCCCACCCCAAATCCCAAGACTGGAGCATGGAGCGCAGCGGGACTGACCCAGAACCTGCTGCCAGGCTGAAGCAGAGCCTGGGGCCACCTCAGACCGTTAATTAATGTGCCAGGCACCCTCGTTAATTAGCGAGGGGAACACCTCTGTCATGCTGAGAGGCTGCTGGAGCAATTCCCAAGGCTGGGAAGGGGTGGGAATGAGGAGCACCTTGTTTTGGAGCACAGCAGTGAGGTGCAGGTTGGTGGGAGCGGCGGCGCTCTGAGGTAGGTTCGTGAGCTGCTGCACAAGGCTGGTGACTGTTCCCAAGGGAAGGTGGTAGAGGACGTGGGAAAAGGGCCTCAAGAGGCAGGGAAGCACCTGTGGAGAAAGGAACACAGTTAGGAGCTCCTCACTTTTCCCAGTGCCTGGCTGGAATTGCAAACAGCTTCTCCTACACAGCCCCTCCAAACCACTGGCACCCTTCCCAGGAAAGGCAGGACCTGCCACCCTGAAGACACACAGAGCCCTCCCAGCCTCTGGAGTCTCACCTCATCCTGAGCATCCTTCTTGATGAGGAAGGGCAGGTTCCTGGCCGTGGCCATGAGCACGTCGGCCGCTTGCTCTGGAGCCAGGAAGGGAAGGATCCGGGCCACCAGGCGCTTTCCTTTCCGGATGCACATGATCTGCATGAAGTGGTCATCGCTCGGCCTGAGGAAGGAGGGAAAAACATGTCAACCCTCACCTGGGAGCATCCCAGGGTTATCCCATGGCTGCATCTGCCCCAGCACCAGGTGTAAAACACACCTGTGCTTCAAAAAACATCCTTGAGGAGGGAAAAACCACACAGCAATGACATCCCTAATCCTCAACTCTGCCAGTGGGAGGGGATGGAAGGTGTAACTTTGTAACAACAGTGAGGGTAAATGGCTAAACAAAAGGTTACTTCAACCCCCTGCAAGAGTCACACAGATCCACGGAAAACTGGTTTCAGTGGTCCCAGAGTGCTGGAGCTCCTAAATCCCACTCACCTGTCCTGCCCAGGAGCCTTCCCCCTAAGATTGTCGTACATGTCACAGATCTTCTGCTTCCTCTCTCCCATCAGCGCTGGCCGCTCCCCTTCCAGGCTCAGGAGGTAGCGGCGCTCATAGTCCTCCACATCCAGGAGGAGGCTGTACGTCTGCAGGAAGCATGGATCACTCAGGGAACCATAGAATGGGTTGGCTTGGCCCACTTTTTATCCCACAATGGACGTCTGAGGGTCGGGACGATCCCCCTTAAACTCACCTTCTCGATGGTGACGAGCGTCTGCCGCCTCTTATCCCTAACCTGCTTCTCCTTCGTCTCCTGCCAGGGAGGGAACAGGGAATCAGGGCTGAGGGAAGCAGCCACAGGGCTGTGTTGGAAGGGAGGAAGGCCAGGAACTCACATCATCCTCGCTGCGGGATGTCACCACGGCGTCGATCATCTTCCGGGGGTTGTTGACGCTGGATACGGTGAGCTTTCCCAGCGAGCCCTCGAACTGCACTGCAGGAAGGAGGGAGCAGGGGAGCCGAGGGATGAGCCCCCTCAATCCCTGGATAACAGGAGCCCTGGGGCTGCTGGAGGGCTTTACCTGGCTTGTAGGTGTGCTCCAGCTTGGCCACCTGAGGGGTGATGAGTTTAGTGCGCTCCTTCTTGGGACCGTCACCGTGCACTTCCTCGGCTGCTGCCAACTTCTCCAGCTTCTGGAAGTAATTCTGAGGCAGGGAGAGGAAATGTTGAGAGGCTTCTCCCAAAAAACCATTGGCCATCTGCCTCTCCTCAGCTCCATCCTCTTCTCAACATCATCTTTTAAGCCACAGTTGAGTCCATCCTCCTCTCCCATCCCTCAGGATGTCAGAGACTGAGGTTACTCCTCAGCTCTCTCTAAGGACAATGACAAATCCACTCTCCTTGTGAGGTTCCCAGCACATCCCACTTAGCCTGCCTTGCTCCACTGGCACCGTGCTGGGGTCTCCCCACCCCACCCACCCTGTTTTGCAATGGCAGAGCTTTGCTGACTCACATCCTGCACCAGTTCCTCTTCTCTACTGGGACCAGCTCACCCACAGATCCCAAAAAAACTGCCAGCTCAGGAGAGGAGCCATAGCTCTCCCACCCCATTCAGTCCCCCAATGTCCATCCCAGGCATATCTCTCTCTCCCAGACATTTCTCTCTCTCAAATAGTCCACCTTGCTCCATCTGCTCCAAGTCTGGCTTTTCCCAGCACTGTCTGTGACATTCCCTATTCCTGAACTGGAAGAAAGCAGGATTGCTCCAGGATCCCTTCCTGCCCACCTTCTCCACTGTACTGCTTGGATTCCCACAGGGTTCATCACCACCATTCCCAGTCAGACTAAAGTCAGCCTTTCCCTGACAAGGATCTGTCTTGAGTTTTCCATTTAGCATCTCCCTTGTCTCATTCCAGGGGTTTTATCCTGGCTCTGCCATGCTTCTGATGGAGAGGAGCTGCTCTCCTGTTATCCCAGACCTATGAAACCAGTCTATCCCAACATCTCCTCACTCCTGGAAATCTTGCCCAAGAAGGAGCCAGCTCTTCCCAGGGACACTGATCCCACCCTGTCCCACCGCCTTCCTCTTCCAGGGAGGAAAACAACCCATTGCAGTTCTCCCTGGACTGACATCCCCTTCCCACCTGATATCCAATGGACAGGGGGAAGATGCTGCTCCTGAGTACCTGATAATAATAATCATCCAGGTAGGGATCAGTGCTCTGCAGCTGCATCATCTGGATCTTGGACACCCAGTCCTTTTCCCGCTGCAGCATGAGGTTGGCATAGGGATCCTTACGGATCTGCTCCTGATGGCTGCTCCGGTGGCCCCCTCGGTCCCCCCCGGAGCCGTTGAGGCTCCGGTGCTGGCTGGCAGGAGAAGAAGGGCACCCGTGAGCACACCGGAGCTACAGGAAGGGACAGAGAGGGGGGACAGGTGACCCCGGAAGCAGGACACGTCCCCGTGCCGCGCGGCCCCGTCCCCGTCCCCGCACTCACTTGCGGTTCTGCTGCCGCTGGTGCAGGAGCCGGCGGTGCTGGGGGTGCAAATGGGTCGTGTCCGGCCGGAACATCTGGGGCTGCGGCCTGGGGAGAGTGGGAACGGTCAGGGAGGGATGCAGGGAGCAGCTGGGATGCCAGGACAGGGACAGCACCGACCTCAGGTTCTGCAGGTGGGATCCGGGGCCCGGAGGGTGCGGCAGCTGTGAGGGGGGCGGGGCGGGGGGAGCCCCGAAAAAGGCACGGAACCCTCCGGCCGGGGACATCATCTGCCCAACTCTGCCCTGGAGCAGCTTGGGATTTACGGAGGGCAGTGGGCTCCCCACCAGCCCAGACACCCGGGCAAACTGGCTGGGGGACATTCGGCCGGCCTGGAGGGGCAGAGAGGACACCTGGAGTCAGCCAGGCGGGAAAAGGATCTGGGATGGCCTGCAAGAGCCATGGAGTGCCAGGTCCCGGAGCCATGCAGAGAGAACGGTGGGATAAAGCATGGGAAGGAGCTTTACCTGGGCTCCTCCGAGCAGCTGGGCTCTCTGCAGGTGTGTGAGAACGGGAGAGACGCTGTGGGGGAACGGGTGGCCCAGGAGGGAGGAATTCTGGGGAAAGAGTTGGGAAAAGGGACCCCAGTCACAGACCATGACTGGCAGACGGGACAAACCCCAGGAAAGCCAAGCTCCATGGGGTGGGGATGAGGCACAGGAACACAGGGAGGTTTTGTGAGGGTTGGTCATCAATTCCCAAAAAGATGGAGGAGGGAAAGCTGGATACCGGAACATTGCAGAGCTGGTTGGGGGACATCCTCTCTCCATAGGGAGCGGGATAGCGCTGCTGCATGGTAGCTCGGATGTGGACAGGCTTGGGACACAGGATCTGGGAGGAGGCAAGTGGCACAGTCACTCCCCCTGGGAAGCAGCCTGCACCCTTGGGAGCAGCGGGAAGTTGGGAAGTGAGGAGATGGATACCTGCTGGTTGAAGTTTGGGATGGCGGCCTGTTTGGGGGGGGTGCCGATGGGAATGGCCCGGACAGGGGGGCTCCCGATGATGGGGGAGGAGGAGCGCCGGGGCAGCGCCCGCTCCGATGGATCCCGCTCCTCATCCCGAGCCTGCGGCGGCCTCTGGGGCAGGGCATAATCCAGCACGGACACCGACGGCATCTCCTGCAGGAGAACGGGCGGGACACCCCCCCGAAGTCACAGGCTGGCACACGGAGGAGGGTCAGTGTCCCCCCTTCCTCCTACCAGCTCTCCACATCCCACTGCGCTTCCCTGGGATCTCTGCACGAGGCTGGGCATTCCCAGAGCACACGTGACTGCCAAGAGCACCCCGTTTGGGATAACAGGGCGTGGGGCGGGAACCCTGGGTCACCTCCCAGCCCGGCAGAGCCAGGGAAGGGTTGGAAGAGGGTTGGACACGCAGCACTTCAAAGCCTGACTCTTAATGAAACCACAACACAAAAATCCTCTGCCTCCAGGCATGAACATTCCCAAATCCTGCTGAGAGCCTTGAAATCCCTCAGACATCACCAGGCATCCCAGAACAGCAAAGCTCCATCATCCCAGCCCTCCAGGGTCCGAGGGTGGACAGAAGGGGACAGCTATGAGGGTCCCCCACAAGGCATGGATGCAGCAGAGGGAAATAGGACACTCCACTATCCCAGGAGCAGTCTGTCCCACCCAGCTGGCTGCCACAGGCATTTGGGATCAGCAGGGAAGAGCCCCCTGCCCTCAGCACCCTACCTGAGCGAGGAGCGGGCCCCGGATGCGCCGCAGCATGGCTGAACTGTCCCAGATGCTGGAATTCAGCCCTCCAGGCTGCTGCAGAGCACAGGGAGAGTCAGGACGGTGCTGCAGGATCCACCCCCATGGCCCCCCAGCTCCCCCAGCCCGCTCCCACCTGTGGGGGATCCCTGGTGTGCACGGCCTGCATGATGGCTGGGTCCTCCAGCTCGCTGTCGATGACGAGGCGGGTGAGCCGCTCGGCCAGCGCGTCTTCGGGATCGCCCAGCACGTCCCCGTCGTTCCCAACGGGACCGTCCGGCTCCCGGCTCGAGCCAGCCTTGTCCTCCAGCTCCGCCAGCCGCTCGTGGGCCTCCTGCCAGTCATCGTCTGCGAGGGGGCACAGGGTGAGGCACGCGGGCCGGGGGCATCTGTAGGGTCAGGGAGGGCTGGGGGTGACACCCCGGGTCTCACCGACGGCCCCGGCCCCGAAGGTGTCATCGTTGAACTGGTCGATGTCTTCATCCTCCTCCCCCAGGGCCTGGAAGGCGTCTTCATCCTCGTCCAGCGGGCAGTCCTCCAGGGACTGGGACAGCCGGGAACGGGGTCAGCCCCACTGCACCTCCGCGATGACCCCGCAGCCCATCACACCTACACAACACACTCCCCTAGGCAGCCATACCCCCCAGCCCCATCACCCACCCCTGGCGATGCCCCCAACCATTACTGCCATGCAGGGACTCCCCCAAGCCGTCACATCTCCCCTGCAGTGACCCCTGCAGCCCTACAGCGTGACCCCTCCCATTATAGCTCCCCCAGTCCCCTGCAGGTGCTCAGTGCCCCCAGACTCCTCCTGCCAGCCCGGAGCCCCCTCACACCCCATCAGCGGCCGCCCTCCCCAACTCATTGCACTTCCCCCGCCCCAGCCCGTTACACCCCCCCCACCCCGTTACACCGCCCCGGTGCCGTGCCGCCCCGGTTCTCCCGCAGCCCCGCGGGGCCCCGCCCGCCCCCCCGGCCCCTCCCCGCTCACCGGGTACCGGAACATGGCGGCGCCGGCGCCCCCCGCCCGCAGGCCCCGCGCCGCCCCGCCAGGCCCCGCGCCCCGCCGCGCATGCGCCGCCGCGGGCGCAGCCGCATGACGTCATCCCCGCCACCGCCCCGCGTCCCACCCGCCACCGCGGGGCGGGGCCAACCCAGACCACGCCCACCATAGACCACGCCCACGTTCTATATTTCTTAAAGGAGTAGCGTCCCTTTTTCTCCCGGTGACACCCGTGCGTCCCCGCCCGAGCCGTGACCCCCGGTGTCACCCCGGCCATAGCCAATGTCACCCCATCCACAGCCCCAGCACCGCCCGCCCAGCCCTGTCCCATCCGCAGGCATGCCCCCACCCGTGTCCCTCGTCCCCAGCCGTGTCTCCCGCTGTCCCCAGTCACGACCCTCAGTGTGTCCCCTAACTGCAGCCGTGTCCTCAAGCTGTCCCCTATACCTGCTCATGTCCCGTCTCCAGCCGCGTCCCCCAGCCGTGTCTTGAGCCCACAGCTGTGTCCTGCCCCCAGCTGTGTCCCCAGATGTGTCCCCTATCCACAGACTTGTCCCCCCGCCCCCAGCCACGTCCCCAGCTGTGACCCACATCCACGCCCCCTGTGTCCCCAGCTGTGTCCCCCCGGCCGTGTTCCCTGTCCCCAGCCGTGCTCCCGCTGCAGCCGCACGTGGCAGGAGGTGACACGTCCTCACCGTGTGACCCCCGAGGGGGATCAGCTTCCTCATGGCCTCCAAACCCACATCCTCCCCCACCCCTGTCACCTCCCGGGGTGCCGGGGGCCACCCCCAGCTGCCACCTTCGGCGGGTCCGGTGTCCCCGCGTGTCCCAGGTGAAGGGGCGGCTCCACCGCGTCCCTCCCCTCGGCGCCTTCCCCGCGCCCGTCACTGGGGATTAGCGCAGGGACAGCCCCGGCCTTGGCGACAGGCACAGGGGACAGGGCCACCCGCCACCTCGCCTGGATGTAGGAGGGAGGCCTGGCCGAGCGGCGAGGACCGAGGGTGACATCGCCCATCCCTGCGCTGGGCGAGGACGGGGACCCCCCCGCGCCCCCCCAGCCTTTGGGGGCACCATGAAGGACCGGCTGGAGCAGCTCAAGGCGGTGAGGGACCCCCGGCGTGGGGAGGGGACGGGGGACACCCCCAGGGGGCCCCTCAGGAAAAGGGTGACACCGGGATGGGGGTCCCTGAGACCCCACCCCATGGTGGGCGGGGGCATCACGGGGAGAGGGGACCCCAAAACCCGAGTTTGTGGTGGATGGGGACGTCACGGGGTTGATGTCACTGAAATGCCACCCCACAATGCGCGGGGGTGTCACAGGGATGGGGGGACTCAGACCCCATCCCACGGTGGGCTGGGGTCTCGGGGACACCCCAGTCCATGGAGGGTGGGGACGCCACGGGATGGATGGCGCCGAGACCCACCCCGCTGGGCGTGGGGTGTCACGGGGGTCACCCCATGGCAGGTGGGGGACCCTGAGCTCCGTCCAACGGGGGTGACAGATGGGAGGGACCGGGGGGAGTCATTCCTGTGTGGTTTGGGGGCACGGTGGGTGTTTTGGGGTGACGTGACCCCCCTCCAGCCGAGTCCAATCCCTCATGCCGTGGGGTGTGATGAGGGGACAGCAGCCCCCTGGCCTATGGGGGGTGCCCGTCCTGCAGGGGGGACGGTGGATTTGGGGTGCCCACACCCCATTCTTCACCCCACACTTCCCCATGTTCCCGCCACCAGCGCCGCTTCCTTCTCCCTTTTCCCGCTCCGCGTGGGGCCCCGCTTCCCCCCGTTCCTGGGGGGGCTCCCCCTGCTCCCCGGGGACCGTGGGGGTCCCAGCAGGCCCCCAGCTCCCGGCCGGGCCCCTAGGCATGGCAGGGAGGCTTGGCAGGGATTTACTGGGATTATGGAGCCATCAGATAAAGCCCTCGGGGGGAGTGAAGGGATTAATTTTATTTTTACTCCAGCAGCAGGAGGAGGGGGTTGGGGGTCCCAGCCTGGGGTCTGTCCCTATTCTCAGGACACCCCAACAACACCCCTGGGGTGCTGGTGGAGCTGAGAGGGTGAGGGGAGGCAGAAGTGCTGAGGCTGAGTTTTGGGAAGGGCTGGATTTGGGAGCACAGGGGTGGGGGCCTGGACACGACACCAGGGTGAGGGGCCGCAGCCACCTTCGTGCCCCCCAGGGCTGCCCCAGGCCTGCCATGGGGCCACGATTTGGGACATAAACCCTGTCCCGTCCCCATCCTGTCGCTGTCCCCGTTCCCTCCCTCTGGCCAAGCCCAGCAATCCCTTAATTCCAGCCACGTGTGGCCAGATGTGAGCTGGGCTTGGCCCCCCCTGCTCTCCCCCGCTGCAGATGTCCCCCCCTGTGCCACCACATCCCCCATGGCTACTCCCCCCGTGTCCCTGTCACCCGTGGGGGGCCCTGGGGGGTGCTGGCAGGGCAGGGGGTCCCCCCTGAGCGCCGTGTCCCAGCAGAAGCAGGATGCTGATGATGAGGAGGAGCTGGAGATCGCCGTGGACAACACGGCCTTCATGGATGAGTTTTTCTCAGAGGTGAGGGAGGGCTGGGGGCAGGGCTGGGGGGTGTAGGGCTGCCTCCTAACCCCCCAAAATCCTCCCGGGGGTGCCCAGATTGAGGAGACCCGGCAGAACATCGACAAGATCTCAGAGAATGTGGAGGAAGCCAAGAAGCTCTACAGCATCATCCTCTCAGCCCCCATCCCAGAGCAGAGTGAGTGCTGTCACAGTGTCCCCAGGGCCTCCCTCAGTCACGGGGACCCTCCCTGGGGACATTCCCAGGGTGGCTCACACCCGTGATCCCACAGAGACCAAAGATGACCTGGAGCAGCTGACGGCAGAGATCAAGAAAATGGCCAACAGCGTCCGTAACAAGCTGAAGAGTGAGTGGCCCTGTCCCCACCGTCGTGTCACGGGTGTCCTGGTCCCCATGGGACTCTGGATCATGGGGGCTGGCAGTGGGAAAGGTTCTTGGTGGGTTGAGGTCTGTCTCTCTTCAGGTATGGAGAGGAATATCGAGCAGGACGAGGCACGATCCTCGGCGGACCTCCGGATACGCAAGTCCCAGGTGAGCTCCGGCCCACAGCCAGTGTCCCCAGGTCCCACCTTGTACCCCATGGGCTGGGCATGTGGCATGTCCAGGAGCCCCAAGTCTCCCAATTCTATCCCAAACAGCACCCTGTGATCCCAGGCTTTGTGTCCCTCTGTCCTGTCACCCTGTGAAAATGGCCCATGGGGATATGCCATGCCAGGGGTGTTCCATGTCCCCAGGACCAGCTCCAGTCCCTCAGCGTCACGGCGACCACCGACCCTGCGGCATCCCCATCCCAAAGTCCCTGTCCCCATCCTCACATCCCTGTCCCTGTCCGCAGCACTCGGTCCTGTCCCGCAAGTTCGTGGACGTCATGACCAAGTACAACGAGGCGCAGGTGGATTTCCGGGAGCGCAGCAAGGGCCGGATCCAGCGCCAGCTGGAAATCAGTGCGTGACCCAGCCCCAAATCCCACCTCCCCCAAACAGTGGGAGGAGCCAACTCACACAGGCCCCTCCCATTTGACCAAATTTGGTCAAGTGGGAGGAGCCAGATCGTACAGATCCCGCCCCTTATTCCCGGACTGGGCGGGGCCTGTTCCCACCTCTCCCCATGTGCCCGCAGCCGGCAAGAACACGACGGACGAGGAGCTGGAGGAGATGCTGGAGAGTGGGAACCCCTCCATCTTCACCTCGGGGGTGAGCCCTGACGTGGGGGACACCAGGGGACACGGGGGTGTGTCACAGGGCCAGTGTGTCACATCATCCCCCACCCCCGACGTGTCCCTGTCCCTGCAGATCATGGACTCGCAGATCTCGAAGCAGGCGCTGAGCGAGATCGAGGGGCGGCACAAGGACATCGTGCGCCTGGAGAGCAGCATCAAGGAGCTCCACGACATGTTCGTGGACATCGCCATGCTGGTGGAGAATCAGGTACGGGGACACGCAGGGACCTGGCCGTGGGGACACAGGGACAGGCAGGGACCTGCGTATGGGGTCACGGGGATGAGCAGGGACCTGTGGGCAGTGTGAACAGGGACCTGAGCATGGGGACAAGCAGGAACCTGGCAATGGGGTCACAGGGATGCCCTGTGTATGGGGATATGGACATGAGGGATTTGGGCACAGGGTCACAGGGATGAGCATAGGGTGACCAGGGACAAGCAGGGACCCGAGTGAGGGGTCACAGGGACCTGCATGGGACCACGGAGTGTCCCAGGGACCTGCACAGGGGGATCCAGGCATGGAGCGATATGGGCTGGGGTGGTGACCACTGCACATGTTCCCATGGAGCCACCCAGCACCCTGTGGTGGTCTGGAGGGGACACAGGAGTGTCCCCACCCTGCGGTGGTGCCGTCCCCTCTCTCAGCCCCTCTCTGTCCCCCATGCCACACGAGGAGCTGCTGTGTGCCCCGGGGATGGGTGAGTACTGCGTGTGCGGGCGTGCCACGTGCTGTGGGGCTGTGTCACTGTGTCACCACCAACCCTGTCCCTTCTCCCCCAGGTGGGCTGCTGGATAACACAGAGCTGAGCACATGGAGCAGAGCACGGAGACGATCCGGTGCTGGGGCCAGGTGTGCCAGGTGGGTGGGTGCCAGCACCCTGGGGTGCTCTCAGTGTCCCCCCCTCTCTCTGTGTCCCCTGGGTGCTCCGTAGGGAGCCATGATCGACCGCATAGAGAACAACATGGACCAGTCTGTGGGATTCGTGGAACGGGCCGTGGCTGACACCAAAAAGGCTGTGAAGTACCAAAGTGAGGCCAGGAGGGTGAGACAGACCGACGGCCCCGTGGCCCCTCCATAGCCCCCAGTGTCCCACTGCACCCCTCAATGTCCCCTGTGTAGCCCCCAGCATCCCAGAGGTACCCCAGTGTTGTCCCCTCTGGCCCTCATTGTGCCTTCACAGTGTTCCCAGCACCTCCCCATATCCTCCAGCAGCCCTGAGATCCCCTTATTTCCCTCAGTCACCTCCTGTCCCCCTCCACCACCCCTCATCTCCCCCAGCTGACCCCAACAACTCCCACCACCCCCCAGTGACCCCATGGGAGGTTGGCAGCTCTGTCCCTCTCTGTCCCTCTCTGTCCCACTGCCACCCCTGAGCCCCTTCCCACCCTCAGGTGAACTGAGCTGGTGAGGATTCAGCCCCTCCTGCCCCATCCCCAGGGCTCTGCAGCACCTCTGGCTCTTCAGGGCCCCTCGGTGTCCCCCACCCCACCACAGGACAGGTGACACCACCCCCGACTCACCCCTGTTCCCCCAGAAGCTGCTGACTTTGGTGGCAGTGGCCGTGCTCTTGCTGGGGACAGTTGCCCTCATCATTGGACTCTCAGTGGGGCTGAACATGAAATAGCCCCTGGGGCGGGGGTCTGTAAGTGTTGGGGGGCAGGGGACCCCCACTGTGGGGGCACAGAGCCCTGGGGGATCCTGCTTTGGGGGCTCCAGTGCTTTGGGATTTGGGGCTGTTGGCTCTGTTCTGGGTTTGGCGATCTCGGGTCTGTGGTACTGGGGGTGCTCTATGAGGGTCTGCAGCACTTGGGGGTCTGCAATGCTTGGGGTCTCTGATGCTCTGGGATCCGTGGTTTTTGGGGGTCTGCAGTGCTCAGGCATCTGTGATGTTCAGGAGTCTCTGGTGCTCTGGGGTCTGTGCTGTTCGGAGTCTGCATTTTTGGGGCTTTGCAGTGCTTAAGGGTCTGTGTTCTTTGGGGGTCTGCGTTGCTCCAGGCTCTGGATTTTGTCTCTTGCCCACATCCATCCCTGCCATTCCCGCTCCCTTCTTCCTGCTGCAGTCCCCTTCCGTCCCCTTCCGATGCCTCCAGCTCCCCTTTCCCTCCTCCAGACGCTCCCGACCATCCCAGCGATGTCACCTCCCCGGCGGGCTCCTCCCCGGCGCTGATCCTGGACCCCTCCTGTCCCTGCTCCTCCCGGACCTGCTGCTCCCAGCCCTCCGTGTGTCCCGGTTCCCGCCGCGGGTTCCAGCACCGCCGCCTTCCCCGCCCCTCCTGCCGGTCCCTGGGATCTGCCCCTCATGTCCCCACGGAAGGGGACAGGATTCCGCCCGTGGAGACGCGGCTACTCGTGCCTCAGCCCCAGCGAGGGGTGACAAGGACACAAATCCGAGGGCCGGACGCTCACCCGCGCGGGCATCCCGGTGGAATGAGGGCGGGAATAGGGACAGGACACGGGGTTTGGTGGCACCAGCGTGGTTTGTTGTCACCGTGCTGTGACAGACGGAGCTGTCGGGGTCCCCGTCCCCTCTTGGCTTTGCTGTCCGGGCGGGAGGATGTGTTGCTCGTGGATGTTTAGCTCCCGTTGTAATAAAATTCCGCTGATCCCGCCCTCGCCTCCTCTCCGTGCTGGCACCGGGAACACCCAAAGCCGCCGGCACGGCTCCGGCTCGGCTCCCGGTGCCCGGGGATTTGGGGGCCGGACCGGCCCCGTTTCCCGGTGCTGTAGGACACGAGGAGGAAGCGCGGGGCTGGGGACACCCCCAACTCCCGTGCCCTGTCCAGACTGTCCCCCCCACCAAGTTTTTGGGTAAGTCACGGTGTTTGGTCACCTGTCCCAGGGCACGCTGGCACTGTCACCTCCCTGTGCCACACAGAACCAGCTCACACCTGCCCTGACACCTTCCCTGCACCCTCCCCAGCCCCTGTCCTTGTCCCTTGCCCTATCTGTCCTTTCTCCCCGCTGCCCAGCCCCTATCCTTGTTGTCCTCCCCCCTGTCCCTGCCTCACATTCCCTGTCTCCCGAGCAGAAGAAGATCATGATCATGTTGTGCTGCATCATCCTCGCCATCATCCTGGCATCCAGCATCTGGAGCATCTTCGCCTGAGCCCCCCACCCGCTGCCCTCCAGGTGACAGGGACAGGGCTGGGGGTGGCACAGGGGGTCCCTGGTACATCCCAATCCAGGGAGCAGGTTCGGGCCTCGCCAGGGTTGGATTCACCCTGAGTGTCCCCAGGTGGCCATGCTGGGGAGGGATGGAGATGGTGACAGTACTGGGAGCCACGTCCCCTTCCTGAGCGTCCCCTCATCTTCCTCCCTGTCACAGGTGGCCTTTCCCCCTCCTGTCCCCCTGCCCGGATGATCCATGGGAGAGACGCCGGCCAAGCCCTGATTCCTGGAGCCCCGAGGACATCCCACGTGTCCCTGGAGGAGTGGAGCCCACCCGCCGTGCTCCCCGCTGCCCTCCCAGCGCCGAGGTCCCCTCGCTCCTCCTCCTCCCCCACTCGGGTGACAGTCGGTGGCCGCTGTGACAAGCAGCCCCTCCTCGGTGGCACGGAGCGGCCGGAGGGGCCGTGTCCCTCTCGGGGGGTGGGGGAGACACAGGGCTCTGCCTTGCCGGGGCGGCCGGAGGAGCCTCTCCCTGTGCTTGGAGCTCCTTGGATGTGCAGCCACCCATGCTGGAGCCTTCCTCCTCAATAAAGAGCTCACCCACACTCTGCCTCCTGGCTCCAACCTGATCCATGGATCCCTCAGGATGATCCCAGCCCTAAAATCCACTTCAGGACAGAGAGCCTTGTGCTTCAAAACCCAATCCATTTATCCCCCAGCTCCAAACCCCACCTTGGGATAAAGATCCTCATCCCTCAAACCCTGACCCATGGATCCCTCAGGATGCTCCCAGCCCTGCATTCCCAGCTCCAAAACCCACTCCAGGCTCTCGTGGAAAAGTTTAATCCCAAAACGAATCCCATCCAACTTCTCCTCACACTCTGTGCTTCAGGAAAAACTTGCCCCAGTAGCGTCCCTTGTGCTGCAGGTCGTAGGGGCTCAGGTACTTCCTCATCCCCAACATATTGGAGGTCACCACACGCTCGAAAGTCCAGGGATTTTGGTTGTCCAGCCTCCTCCGCTCCTCCTCCCGCCGCATCTCCTGGAGGCTCTCCCGGCTGACGGCCACGGCAGGGAAGGGCAGCTTCTGTGCCACGCGGGTGAGGAAGGGCCGCACCTCCCCGAACTCGCAGCGCCCGCCCACCTCCACCACCAGCCCGCCGCTCTTCACCGCCGTCACGTAGCGGTCGATGGGGCCCTTCCCGCCCCCCATCCGGTGGCCCAGACTCTTCCTCGTCACCGGCTTGTAGGGGGCGGGCACGCGCCACACGGCGAACATGGATTTGGGGTCGATGTTGCGCCCGATGCTCAGCCGGATCATCTCGAAGTGGCCCCAGTGCAGGTACCCCCCGCCCAAAGCCTGTGTGGGGACACGGCGGGACAGCTCAGGGACACGCAGCCCCGGCCTCTGGAACGCTCTCCCCGCTCCGTTCCGGCCCGTTCCCGCTCACCAGGATCCCGTACTGCCCCTGCGTGAAGTCGGTGGCCACCTGGGACGGGCCGCGGATGTCACGGAGCCGCCGGGGCTCCCGCTGCAGCTTAGGCACCGCCGGCACCTTGTCCATGAACTTCAGCTTCGGCTTCTCGGGAATGGTGATCCCTGCCGGGGAACGCCGGGATCAGGATCCCCGGGAGCACAGCGGGGAGTGCTCCCGCCCGCCCTTGCGGGGCTGTTCCACCGTCCATCCCCCTTACCGCTGTAATCCGGGGGCAGCGTCCACTTCTTCAGCCCCGCCCGGGGAACCGCGACACCGCCGGGACCTGCGGGACAGAGCGCGGGGGTCACGGCTGTGGGCTCGGGCAGGGCTGGGAGGGAACGGGGCAGCCCGCGGGGCCTCCCCTTCCCGCTCCCAACATCCCCCCAAGCCACCGCAGCCCAGCCGGGAGTCCCGCCGAGCCCTCGGTACCTCCCCGGTGTCAGCCCGAGCCCTCGGTACCTCCCCGGTGTCAGCCCTTCCACGGCCCGCCCGAGCCCCCTCCGCGAGCCTCAGGCGTCCGGGAAGGTCCCCCCGGCCTTCCCAACCCCCCACAAGGCACGGGCGGCCCCTCGGAGCCCGGCCAAACCCCCCTGACCTCCCCCGGGCCGGAGCGGCCCCGGGAGCCGCCATCGCCACATCGCCGGGACACGCCGGAAGTGCCGCAAGGGCGCCGCCATTGGTCCGGCCGCGAACAGGCCCCGCCCGCGGTCCGGCCGGGAAACGCGGCGGGAACATTTGTTCCGGAGAGAAACGCGGCTCATCCCGTTCCCAGCCCCGTCCCGGGTGGGGATCGCCGACAGGGACACCCCCGGGAGTTCCGAGGGACGTGCTGGGAGTGGTCTGGATCTGCTCCCAGCCTTTGTGCTGGCCTCGTGTACTGGGTTTATGGGGATAGGGTTCATATTCCTCCCAGCAGCTGCCACAGCACTGGGTTTGGATTCGGGATGGGCGACCTGGGGCAGTGATCGTCACAAAAGGAGTGAGCGCTGGGCTGTGATGTCACACAGGTGTCCCACCCGCAGCTCTGTGACATCAGCACGGTGTCTCCACAGGACACTGTCACCACCCTCTGGCTCTCAGCATGGCCACGATGGGACACGGATGAAGCCATGAGTTTCCTGCTCCCCCCGCTTGTCCTGCTGGTGGCCAGTACGGCCGTCCTGCTGGCCACCCGTGTTTGGAAGGCGCGGAAATGCCTCAGGACGCGGCGCTGCCGAGCGGCTCCGGGGGCTCCCGGTTCCCCCCCGGCCGAGGAGACCCCTGGCCATGGCCCGGCTGCCCCGGAGAGGCCCCTGTACATCCCCTGCGGCTGCGGCCCCTGCTGCACCCCCTGTGCGGCAGCGGCCCGGGAGCTGCAGGACATGGTGACGCCGCTGTGGCCCGAGGTGTCCTTCCCGCGGGACTCGGAGATGTGGCAGCTGCTGTGGGAGGACCTGGAGCAGCTGCTGGAGCAAGGCCAGCTGCCCTGCTGTGCCTCCTCCAGCCTCCATCCTTCCCAGAGCCTCAGCGAGAGCTGCCGGGCTCTGGCTGGAGAAGGCCTCGTGGACGGATCTCGCTGCTCCCTTGCAGCTGCGGTGGCCAGGAAGAGCCTGGAAGTGAAGCTGAGCACCCAGCCCGGGCCGGTGAGGCAGAGGGAAGCGTCGCCCCCTTCCTCCAAGAGCCTCCCCCGCTGCGGGAGCCGGACTGCGGATGGCGAGGATGCCTCGGACAGGTCTCCGAGCTCCTCCGGATCCGCGGATATCAGCGAGGCCCGCGAGGCCCTGAGGATGCACGTGGCCAAGAAGAGCCTGGAAGTGAAGCTGGGAGCCCGGCCTGCTCCGGTGAGGCGCTCCCAGCAGCAAGCAGCACAGCAGGAAGGGCGCTGCTGGTGCCGTGTCTGCAGCCCCCACGGCGCTGCAGGGCGGCCACGCCGGAACGCCCCGCGCTCCCACTCGCAGGAGATCCTCCAGAGGCAGCGGGAGTTGGAGTTCCCCTATCTCCAGGGGGCTCCTCCAAGCAGGATTAGGCCCCTGTTGGCAGCCCAGATCCTTCTGAGGATGCTCTGTTATAAATAAACCAGCATTTCACAGCTGAGTTTGGGCTGGGAAACAGGGTTTGTGGGGGTTGGGAGTGGGGATGGGCTGAGTCTGATCCCCAGTGAGCTGAGCCATGGAGTGCCCAGTTACACTGACCAACCCCCAAAGGAACACAGGGCACACAGCTGCAGTGCATGAACATGAGGGGTACAAAAGGCTGGATTAAAGAACAAGAAGAGTGGCTGCCTGCAGCCTTCTGATGAGGTGAGGGGTTGCTCTGTGTGGATTGGAGCCCTCTGAAATTGTGTGGTGATCCTCTGTGTACCATGGCTGTCTCAGCTGTGACAGGAAGGTTCCTTTCTTCCTGGTTGCTGGCTTTGTATTCAGGATGGGAATACCATGGATCACATGTGGGTGCTTTATTTGCTTGTCCTCCTCGTGGACTTTCCATGTTTCCTCCTGGGAAAGGTGGGATGAGTATCCAGGGTCAGTTTCTAGTATTCACTCTGGAAACAGCCCCAGGTGGGTGCAGGGGGTAGGCCCATGCCACCCAACTTCCCATGGGGACACCCGTGGCCAGCACCCTCCTCCTAAAGGTCTCAAAGCCATTGCTAGGAGAGATCCTGTCTCTTTTTCCATCCCTGTCCCCATGGAGGCTCCCAGGGGAATGTGCTCTGTGCTGTTCCCTGCAGCCCCCAGCCCTGCACGGGGTGTTCTGGGTGAGGGGGTGTTTGAGGGTCCTGGCTGCCCTGCATGGGGGGAAGGACCACGGGGGTCCCCAAATCCCTGTCACAGCCCTGCGTGTGCCACCCTCTGTCACGAGTGGCCACACGTGGCTCTGTGCTGGCCACTGTCCTGGCAGCCAAGCCTGGTGTCCGGCTGTGGGGTGACCAGGAATGGGACAGGGGTGGTGACACACCTGGAGCACCCCTGCTGAGCTGGGGACTGCCCTGCAGGTGAGGAATGGGGACACCGTGTGTCCCTGCTGGGGGTAGGGTGGCAGTGAGGGGACCCTGCCAGCCCCATGGGTTTTCTGTCACCTGCTCTGAGCTGGGTGACACCCCCAGCTCCACTTCCACTTCTTCCCACGGCTCCTCCTGGACAGCATCCAGCATGGGAATGTCCTCTACTTGGCCAGAGGGCCCGTGGCTGTGGCAGCAGGCCCTTGTCCCAGCTCCCTGTGGAATGTTACTGCTCCAGGGAAATGGGGATCCCTCCCAGCGCCCCAGATTCCTCTCAGGAGCCGTGGCTCTGAGTTTCCCTGCAAACCCCACAATGGGATCTCTCCATGAGGGATTCCAAGCAGGAGAATGTGCTGTTGTCCGGATCAGGATGGGGTTCAGGGACGTCCTTCATGAATTTTGGGGTGCAGGGTGGTATCGTGTGTCCCTCTCATTCCCTGTGTGTTCATTATTCCCTGATTTCAGGTTTAATCCTCTGCCTGGAGCTCTTGGCTGTTTTTCCTCGGGGCTGGACACCCCAAAAATGGGAAATGAAAATAGTTTGGGGGGAAAGTGTATGGGATCAGTGTGGGGGATCCCCTCTACTCCTTCCGTCCTGCAACAGGGAGCAAATCCAGGCTATTCCAGCCCACCCCTTCCTGGGGACGGAGATCCAGGGGAAATCAGGCCTGGGCCGTGCCCAGCTCCGTCCTGGGTGCCACCCCTACCCCCGCCCGTGCCCCGGCTCTGCGGGGAGGAGCCGCAGGAGCCTAATGGCCCTTGATGGATTTTTCTTCCAGGAACTCGCTGCGGCGTGGTTTTGTGGGTTTTTTATTTTTGTTTTCCGTTGGTTTTTTTCCCTTTTTTTTTTTTTTTTGTCTCTCTCTCTCTTTTTATTTTTTTTTCTTTTCTTTCTGTGCTCCTGTAAACGCGGCGCGGAGTTGGAAGGAGCGGGAATGAGGGGAGGGACACGCAGCTTGGGGTGGGCTGGCACCCCGATATCCTCAACTTGCGTGTGAGTTTGGGATGAGCAGCTCTTCCCGGCGGGGGTAATACGGTGTCCTGGAGGTGGGGGGGCAACACTGGGAATTGCTCCACAGAGCCAGGGGACCCCACGGGGCATCTTCCCAGCCCCACTTCCCGCCATCCCCGGGTTTTGGGGGGCTGTTCCCGCCATCCCCGGGTTTTGGGGGGGCTGTCCCCAGCATCCCCGGGTTTTGGGGTGACTGTCCCCAGCATCCCCGGGTTTTGGGGTGGCTGTCCCCAGCATCCCCGGGTTTTGGGGGGGCTGTCCCCAGCATCCCCGGGTTTTGGGGTGACTGTCCCCAGCATTCCCGGGTTTTGGGGGGCTGTTCCCGCCATCCCGAGTTTTGGGGTCATGATGTCCCCAGCATCCCCCCGTGTCCCCCCTGAGCTGGGCGGTGCCCCGGGGGGGGGATGCCGCACCGCTGACGTCACGGCGCTCAGCCAATGGGCGCGGGCCGTGGCGGGGTGGGGCAGGGGCGGCCCCGGTGGGGACCGGGGCTGCTCCGGGGGGTCCCGGTGCCCCCCGCTCTCCTCATGCAGGGCATGGGGAGCCTCCGGCTGGGCAGCCGCGCCGTCATGTACACGGCGGAGACCCTCCCCAAGGGCAAGAATCGCGTCATGGGGGTGAGTTTGGGGGGATCGGGGGGGAGAAACGCTTGGAAAATCCCTCCTCAGCCCGTTCCCGGGGGATTCCTGCTGATCCCTCGGGGGGTGCCGTGTCTCCGGAGAGGCGCTGGGATTAAGGCGTCCCCCATCCCCAGGGTGGCTCTGTGGGCGGGGGGGTTGAGTTGACCCCGTTCCCACCCTTCCCGCTCTTCCAGACCATCCAGATTATGACGGGATTCCTGCACATCGGCTTCGGGATCGTCCTGACCACGCTGACCAATGTCTACACCTCCGTCTTCGTCATCGGAGAGATCCCCTTCCTGGGCGGCGTGTCTGTGCGTGCCGGGGGGCTGGGAAGGGATTCCCACCGGGAAAGACCGCCTGGGGTGGGGGGGTTGCCCACCAGGAAGGGAATCTCGCCAGGGAATAATGCCCACAGGGAAGGGAATCCTGCTGGGGGGGATGCCAGCAGGTGGGATGCCCATTGGAAGGGATGCCCGCCGGGAATGATGCACTTGTGGCTCCCATGACCTCGGCAGCTGGGAATCAAGGGCAGGAGGGGTCACTGTGTCCCCTGTGCCACCTCTGGGCAGGTTTGGGGTGCTTGGGGTGCCCTCAGCGCCAGCTGAGCCCCATCTCTCCTGCTGTAGTTCATCATCTCGGGGTGCCTCTCCATCGGCGCTGAGAAGAGCCCCACGGAATGCGCGGTGAGTTTTCCCAGGAGCCCGCCGGGAGTGATCCCATGGGGGAGGTGAGGTGTCCCCCTGGTGTTTTGGGGGGGGGTCTGCCACCCTCCCCCCTCCCCAAAGCCCCCCGGGTGCCCACAGGTGAAGGGCAGCCAGACCATGAACGTCATCAGTGCCATCTTTGCGCTCCTGGGAATCGTAGCCTTCATCGTGGACCTCAACCTCAACGGGCTCTACCGCTCCAGCTTCAACTACTACAGCTATCTCGTCCTGGTAAAATCCCACTTGGTGGAATTCCTGCCCTTGGGAACCCCCCCAGGGCCTTTTCTCCAGCCCTCAAGGGGTGTTGTGCCCTTTCCCAAATCCCTGTTGGGGTGGTGGTTTCTCCTCTGCCGGCACAACCTATTTTCGGCTGGTACCTTGGGAGATGAGTCACCCCCTGGAAGCATCCACGAGCCAAAATAAAACGGTGGCATGGAGGGCTTGGAGTGAGACCTTGGAGCCAGGGATGCAGAGGGAGAGGAAGGGGGAGCCACAGAATGCTGCCCTGTGTGGGGTTCATCCTCATGGGCGCTGTTGGGGGGGTACTGATGGGGTT